TGATGATCCAATATAATGAATAGACAAGCTGTGAATTGTCCAGCCTTTCCTTTACCAAGAAATCAAAAGCTTCGTTTCTTAACGCAAGTCATTGTTTTTAGTCACTAGTATGTCATAATTGCAATTGATATTTTATGGTAAGTAAGTAAAAAAGAATTGGCCTTACTTCAATGCAAATTAAGGTGGAGAAAAGCTAAGATAGATGATCAACCAAGCTAAGGAACGTGATTTAGGCCATAAAGGAATTGTGGAAAAGGCATACATTATCAGATTTTTGTAGATCAAAAAACTAGGAATTGATCCATATACACCATCTACTTGTGATTTCTAAAAAAAAAAAGACTTTCTTCATATCATGTTATCTCATGCACCAGTCCAGTAAAGTGGAAAAAGTTAATCCAAAGGCAGATTTTAGTTTAGCAAGTAACGAGGTTGTAAGTTTTATCGAAACCAAACTTGAGACTTGGTAAAACCATGTCGACAAAATGAGCTCTAAATCCATCAACAAAGCGATCCTCATATTGCTTAATACAATAAATCTGTTTGGACCTAACGACATTCACATTCTCTTGTAGAGTAACTATTGACTAAGTTTGATTTGAATGAGGAGCCTTTAATTCCTCTTCTATGGCAATTACCTATTGAGGATCATTTATGTAAAATGGTGACTCTCAAGTTCAACGTGAATTGCGATAGATAATATTCATAGTTCTATAAGTGTCTTGGACATTATATATTGAATTAAAGATGAATATAACTGTCACTAACATTATTATTGATATTGGTATCAATGATATGACTAGGTATGTTATCAAGCAAAGTAACTACTTATATGTCTGCTAGTTTTGGTATAACTTATGGTTCTTTTTCTTGAGGTACTTTAATAATAGAAAGTACTCCATCATCTAAAGTAGGCTTGAGATGGCTTTCATCAAATAAGTATCGATGTTCATAATAAATAGTTAACTATGTTCTTGATTGTATCATTATAAGATCAATGTCAAGTGTGATCGAACCATTTATAAAAAGTTAGGAGTTCAACAAGTTCCAATGGCATAGGAGTTAATTTATTTGGAGACGGCTTATAGAGAAATTCACCTTCATCAAAGATAGCATGTTTTGATATATAAACTCTATTTACTCAAGGCTAATAGCATCACTGACCATTGTGGATTGGGCTATAACCAATGAGGATAGAGAGATAAATCTTCTAACATATTTCTTTCCTCATGGATATCTTAGAGAAGGAAAATATAAACATCCCAGCACTCAGTAAGGTTTTATAATTTGGTTCTTTACGGAATAGCTTAAAGTATGGGGACTAGTTATTCAAAACTAAAGATGGCATCCCCTCCTAACTAGATAGACAACTATAATAAAAATATTAATTTATAATAATAATGGTAAATTAGATGAAAAGAGACGGTTAAACCTATCTTAACAATGTGTGGATGCTTCCTCACTCCATTTGTCTCGGAAATTTCAGCACATAAAATTTGCAATTAAAAGTATTAATAATATTAAGGAAATCAAAGGAATTATAATCCTCATGTCTATCATACTGAAAACTTTTTATTTTATTTTTAATTTTTCTTTTCATTTTATTTCCATTTATATAGGGATGGAGAAGGACAGGGAAGTGAAGAAGGAAAAGAAAATAAAAAAGAAGAAAAGAAAGAAAATTGAAAAAAAGGGAAGAAAAGAAAATAAAGGCAAAAGATTTCATTTATTATTTTCTTCTTTTCAGCCAAGAGGAAGACCAGATCCAGTATCAAAGAAAAATCGTAATTGGTAAAAAAAAAAATACGTTAAGTTACATTTTTAATCGGATAAATCCTCAAACTAGTCCATAAGATACAGTTGATGTTGCATTTTAATTCTAAGTAATCTTTGTTATAAGTTAGTTTTCAAGTATTTAGTGTTGTGTCAGAGTTTAATGCTGTTAGAATTAAGATGGAAAAATCTTATTTGACATAGGATTTATTTGGAGGAAAAAAAAAAAAAATTTATAGTCACAACAAGGCAGTTCAAAAGATAACTAAAAAACAAAAATAATGTTTATTTAGTATGTTAACTTTTAATGTTAATTAAAAATCTAATGCTTTTAAAAAAAATTATGAGTTGCAAAAGTAATTAAAAATAATTTTTTTTCTCCAAATAACTCTTAAGCCAATTTTGATTTTTTCATCAAAATTTTAATATTGTTATGCTTTTGAAATGAATTAAAAATTTAAGAATTAATCTGTAAAAAAAAAAAAATATTTACAGCTAAACTATAACATTAACTATATTTCAAAAACTAAATTGGTATTTATCCTTTTTAGTTGTATTCAAATAGTCTTAAATGTTATTATCATAGCATTATATTCAAAAACTATATTATATTTATAATATAGAAAAGGAGTTTCCTCAATTAACGAGAGAGAGAGAGTGTTAACAAATGTTTTAAAACCATAGTTAATACCAATCGTTCAAGAATAATGTATAATAATATTGATATTAGTCAATAATATTTTGAATATAGTAATAAATAAATTTGTAACGTTCAATATTATGTTGTGTTATGTATATCTTCTAATATATTTTTAATTTAATAGTAATAGTAGACCTTACAGTTTTTATTTTTGAATAGGATGTTAAAATTTGATATGTGAAAAACGTAAAAACTTATATGCATCTAACTATGAATAATATTTTAAACATAATGTTGTATTATGTACAATATTAGAAATAAAAGTATATGATAATTAATTTTTAATTAATAAAATGGTTTAATAATAAATCAATCAATAAAATAATGAGATCACAATATAAATATATTCCAATAGTTAATTAATAAAAAATGTTTAAATTAATAACTCTTTAAATTGTACTTATCTTCACAAATAATTAATTAACAAATATCTTAATTAACTATTTACTTAATAACTGTTATTTAATAAATAGGATAAGAACAAAAATGTAGCATAAATATACTCTAATAAATAATAAATTAAAATTAAACTAACTATTTTAAATCTAACCTTTTCATTATAATTAATAATGATTTAATTAATGAATTTTTTAAGAATTGCCTGTCTTCACAATAGAGTGCCACTTTTCTTCTTTTCCGTCTCATTTAATTAATTAACTATTCAAGTCTAAATTATAATTAAACCAGTCAGGATTCGAGTACCAGCATTTCAAGCTAAGTTTTCAAACTTTCAAGCTATGGATGGTATAGATATGTAGAAATTAGACGTGTATGAAAAAGCACGAGTAAATCGTTTAGAGAGTTTGTAACTACTCAGAATACAAATACCAGCACTACGAATTGTAAGAACATTCCAAAAATAAACAAGAGAGCCCATCATTCATCTCTCCATCTCTATTTTACTCTATATATCCATCTCTCTAGTCATCGAATAGTCGACAGGAACAGTAAAGTAAACACTGATACATAGATGAGCGAAAATAACAAAAAGCTCATTCAGTCATCTAGGAATCTGAACCTAGTTAGGTAATATCCATATTCTTTGCTAGGTCATTAGTGATCCAATTGTATAAGAGGCTCCACAGCTCTAAAATGGTTCTGCCAGAAAATCAGTGTTAACAAGTTAGGCGTATTTTCTCTACCTCTGAACTTTAATGAGATTGTTGAGACATGCTAACAACTAGCCAAAGCATTTTCAACCTTAAGAGGTTAAAAAAAAAGTTCAAGCCAAGAAAGAAAAACCATTAATAAATTGCCCAAATTTATTTCATCATTATAACTACAGAATTTAGATGTCAAAGCCAACATAAGAGAACAGTTTTTTATGTCTTGACATACCTTCTTTCTATCAAGTAGTTTCAACTCCAAGCTGCCTGAGGGAATCAGGGCCAACAAGAAAAATTCGCCTTCTTGTCTGGTACCGGAAAACCACTATTCCTTTATATGCGGTCCTAGGTACACCATCCTGGGAAACAGAGTGAAAAGTATTTGGTTTCAAAAGAATCCAAAAGCGTACAAAAAAATCTTTGAGTAATTCAAAATGCCTTTTATATGTCAATAGGGCCTGTTTGTTCTTTGCTTGCATGTTTAAACCATGCATGAGTTAGGACAGATCAGTTTGTTTAACATACCTGGTTGTCAAGCGGAAAATTAAATACAGTATTCTTCTAATGGATATAATGAACATTTTTGAAGAAATTAGTAGAAAAGATCCATCAGAATGGTTAAATAGTTTGTAAAGCCAAAAATTGTAGAAATGGTAGGTGCAGTTAATTATGTTGAGAAAAGAGCTGGCAAATTAGATGGTATGAAATAAAGATAAGATATTCGATAACATCATTGTAAGCGGCCCACAAACTTTGTGCATGAAAACAGTGAAATGTCAAATACTATATCATTAGAAATGGAGCACCGATGACAGAAACCAGATGTAATGAACTATAAATGTGCCGAGGTTCATTACGAAGATAGATGGATATATTCATCTATCATCTGTAAGATAGTACCTTCCACTCTTCAAAAATACCAAATTGTCGTGCAATACGCTCAAAGTCTGGCTGGTCATTGTATTGAATACGAACATCACCTTCTATATTATATGCCTTAGCAACAGCATCACTTCCTTGGACAGGTATAGCTTTTTTCACAATATTGGCGAAGTACTTTGTGTAGTTGTTCTGAAACAAGAAACAAATATTTAACTCGAGTAAAATAAGGAGAGGTTAAACAAACTAATGAACAGAATGTAGAAGTTCAAAATAAACAAATAGAGTCCCACTTATATTACCTCCGTTAGATAGCCTAAATCCATGGACTTCCACTTAACCTTTTGTGGAGAAAGGAAAACAAAGAAAGTCATACCGATAACAGAAAATATATAAAACCTTCAAAAGAAAGCAAAGGAAAAAAAAAAGAAAGAACGGAGATCAGAAGTTACATTGACATCATTTAGTTTTATAGGTTCAAGATACTGTTTGAAAAATTGGCCCAAACTAGAACCCTGCAAGAAGAATAAAAAAAAATTGAAGATGCAAGATACATAGATATTCATGGGGAAAGATGCAAACATCTTAATCTGTTGGATCCTCGAAATAATTTATGATAACATTTGTCTAGTAAAGGAATCTTTTTAAAAGTCAAGCATCAAATTGATGCGGAAAAATTTATGGCGATATCATGCACCAAAGGAATTTCTACTAGAAAAGTTAACTCAATATATCCATTTATTAATGAGAGAGCAAAATTGCAACCTAAATAAAAAAAATGGTTACCAAATTTGAAACAAAAGAAGAAAAAAGAAAGATAAATAAAATAGACCAGACTATAATTCTACTCAATTGTTGAGACATAAGGGATGAATATTGTTTGGCAAATCAAAATCAACTAAGAAAATCATGTGAATATAAACATGGAAAAATAAACTACTTCTGAAAGAAAATTGGATTAGACAGTAAACTAAATAGCTACATAAATGTATAACAAACACCAATGCATATTTACATATTTTGCGAGATTGAAGGTAGAATTTTCTCAAACCCAAAATTACTTGGAGATACTTACATGCTCACCGAAATTATATGTTCTACATACTTCTGGACGGATGAACTGTCGACCTTTATGGTTCTCTTGTAACCGTAGCCAGTCATCCCAGTAAGTGGAACTTTGTCAAAGAAAATTATTAAGAGAGAAGTAATAAACTGAAGAGGTAATTTATTATGTTCAAACTAAGATTATCCTCAAACAATAAGGATATGCCTTAGGCCACTTTGGTGACAGCTCATCCCATGTATCTCTGGACAGCATCCATCCTAAACCAGGAAAAAAATCCGAGCGATAAAGTGCATCTGCAGGGTATGTTAGAGCAAATCAGATAGCATAAAGCTCTTGCTTCCCGTTTCAGAGATCACCAAAATTGAAGAAATGCTCATTAAGAAACATATGGCCTTGAAACAAATTCCAAAATCCTAGAGCTTTTTATAAGTGATACCAACAAATCTCATACATAAACAAAAATCTTATTTTAATAAGCACATAAACAAAATTTTGACGTCTATAGCCCAGAAAGAAAAGTATTTGACTTCTTGGAGTTATTTAAGATGTTAGATGATAACTATTCTGCCTTTTTCTTAAAGCAATCCTATTAGGCGAGAGGAGATGAATGGCAACTTACAAGGATCATGCACGAACTGTTTTTGTCCATTGTCATTCCATGACGAAACAGCCATTATGGACCTAATAGAGACTCAAATAGAAAGCAGGGGGAGAATGAGATTCCCAAAAATTAAACCAACGTCAAACTAAGAGCTAAGTTCCATTAACATACTTATCCCTCTCCATGAGGGCTGCCGCAGCCTCAAAGTAATCAAAAAAATCAGGGGAAATTTCCATATCATCTGTTTTCATGAAATAGACTTTCAATCAGTGCAGTCTCTCATGGTGCATCAAAGTGATATAAAAAAAGTGGGAAATATAATCTTGAAATTGCAGATATAAAGAAGAAAGTTTCACCTTCAAGTATGATCACCCGACCAAAATTATGTTTGAAGAACAACTCATCCAATGCCCATTTGTAATGTCCTGTTTGGAAGAAAGATGATCCGTTCCTGGTAGTCAGAGATGCAGAATTACAGAATAAGGGGGTTGCTAGCTACGTGGTGGCAAGAAAGATCTTGCAATTCAAATACGCTTAAGTTGTGGAACAAGGGAAATTGTCGTGGGACCAAAGCGACAAACTGTTTGGTGAAATTAAAGCTTTTGGTGTAAAGGAAATTCTTTTTGACCTATCTAGGAAAAGCATCAAAGATGGAATCTTGTTAAAGTTGCGGTGGATAATGCTTATGGAAGAAATTGCATGGAACCAGATATTGAGAATTTCGTGGATGAAAAATGGAACATGAATACCAAGTTTTTCCATCAAATGGCTCACTTTTACCAAGATACAGTATTTCCCTCTCCAAGTATGGGAGACAAGGAGCTAGATTAAAACTAGAACATGAGACAAGCAGCCAAAGTTGGAACAGAAGCAAATGGTAGCAATATTGGGATTTATTGAAGCCATAGCATGAAAATAAAGTAGAGAACTATCCTTACGTGCAATTTTATAGTACGCAATCAATTCACCAGGCCTTTCAGTCTGCACTGGTTCATAATCCAAGTGCTGTAACAAAACTAAGTTAGGATTCTAGGGATAGACAAAAGCAAGGAAGACTCTGAGGGTAAAGGTACTTCTAATATGTATATATACCTGCATATATGTTAGCTGATCATAACTGAGAGCCTTACTCCTAACCTCTGGATGTGATCCATCCTGAAAAAGAAATTGTTAAATACCTGATCTCAATTATATCACATTTTACAATAGAATCATCATAAATATAAACACATCAATCCTGTGCTAGATAACACTCTTGTTGCAGAAAAAAGAAGCCCAGAAACTTTGATTTCTAAAGGGGATACCTGAGAAATGAAAAGTGGATACTTTGAAGCAATCGATCTTTGATATCTATAGGGAATAAAGATGTTTGTCAGGTGAGATGGTTATAATTGCCAAACAAATAGGCCCCTAAACATAAAATGTGCAAGGATAAATGCACCTTAAAACAGACTTAATAGTCCTTTCCAGATAATCAGCACGATTGCATGCCATGACTACAACAGCTGCCACAGGTGTCTAGTGAATGTAGAATGAGGTATGGTTAGGATAATTGATAACATGGCTTAATAATGTCGAAAAAGGAAAAAAGAAGATAGGAAATGCCTTTTCCTATACAAAACCTGTGCCTTATCAATCAGCCTCTCTAGTCCTTTCCCTGAAACAATAAGAGAATATGAATCCCTAAAACTAAATACACCAGCAACATCTTAAATTATGATGAAACAGACGGAAATGCTTCATGTAAATGGACATTAAAATAACAAAAGACATCAAATGAAAAATTCAAAACATAGACATTTAATTATAAAAAATAAAACAAATATTTTTCATGGAAGCTAATCCTAATAGTGATGTACAAGGAAGTAAGTTTAATTATAGGCAGTTTCATACCCATATATCAATCTCTAGTTATATTTGAAAATATACAATTGACACCAACTGGAAATGGAAAAGCTATGAAAAAAAATGCTTATTTGCAACTCGGGAGCTTCTAGTGAACTGTATATTTCATTAGAAGGCCAATGTTGAGAGTCTTGAACTGAAAGCCAAGGACCATCATACTCCTTGCATAAAACAAATCAAATGTAAATTTCACAAATGAATCCTAAAACCCTGAAAAAATTAAAGAATAACTTCAGCAAGTTATCAACTATTTCTTGGCTGGATCATGTATACTTACACCACTTTCTATGAGTTGTACATCTCGTGTACTGATTAGGAGATTATGTTATCATTGTGTTCAAATAACACTTATTTACTATTAAGAATTTGTAAAAAGAAATTATGTGGTGACTATATTCTCTCAGTTGGGGTAGCCACAACAGGACAGTACACAAACTTTTTTAATTATAAAAAATATCTATTTAATCAAATATATGAATTTCCACTCAAAAAAATTCAGTAAGTCTTTTTCTCCCTTTTCCACAATTTCGGTTCCTAGCAGTCAGAGAAAAAGGAAGCAAGAAAAGCAGGTCATATCGAAAACTCTCACGATAAATTTTTTTATACTCCAGGGAGTGCAGAAAACCATTGTTGACTGCATGTAAGTCAAGTGCAGTAGGCATTTACATGCCACAACAAACACAAAGTAGAGTCCCTCTTGCAACGAGGATGCATCTTCCAGTTCCTAAGAACTAAAAACAAATATCAGGTTACAATTAAGTATCATCTGATTGACTCTTGGGACAGGATTGCTAACCCTATTACAGTTATTAGTAGAGTCCCTCTTGCAACGAGGATGCATCTTCCAGTTCCTAAGAACTAAAAACAAATATCAGGTTACAATTAAGTATCATCTGATTGACTCTTGGGACAGGATTGCTAACCCTATTACAGTTATTAGCATCACATGCTACAAGGATAATCCGGATACATGGCATTCTCAAATCTCAAAATTATTAATACCAATCAAATTGTAGATTACCCACAACTTATCAATAGATAATGACAAATGATAGAAAAAAACAGAAGCTTCTTTATTGAGAAACGCACTTTCAAAGTGTTGTAGATGATTCTTCAGCTCTCCAAGCTCCTCATCCTGGCGTTTTCTTTCTTCTGAAATTGTAGCATGACCTTAGTAGAGTTATAACATGAACATAATATTTCTATGGCTTTTCTCCAACCAAGAAGAGGGTGAGAAGTTTTCAATACAGGCTTACTAAATGGATTCAACAAAATATGGACAAAATGACTGCATGATGGACTAAGCAATAAACATCAATATATCACTAGAAGACTAAGAAACAACTACCAAATTTGAAGTATCTAAGGGATCAAAAGAAGAGATGAACCAGCCAAGAGAAGAAACCACAACATGCATATACCTTCCAGGGTCACAATTCTGCCTTGCTGCATGCTTATTTGATCAATCAGCAATCTCATTTGACTTGTACAATGATTCTCTGATTCAACCTGTAGAAACATAATAGTTCCCTGCATACTAAGGTGTACTGCTACTTGAAAATTAGATGAAGTTCTCATTATGTAAATTCTGCATCATCAGTTGTGTAATATACATTTTCCAATAAGAAAAGACAGGGTAGAATCTTTCAATAATTGCATCTGGTCAACCAATGAACCAACAGAGAAACAACCATGATAGTCGCAAATCTCAGGATACTAATATGTGAAGGAAGGTAAATCAATAATATAAGCCAATTCCGAAACCTCTTCCATGGTTCCTAATTAGCTCTACAAGGAAAGGACAATCCAAGAAATGCTATAAAAATTCGACTATATTAAGAGTGATGCCAGTGAGTTTTTGAATTTTCAGAAAAGAACAGTAACTTCCCAAAGAAACAAAGGAATAAAATGAAATATCCACAAATTTTTGAAAAACAAAAGAATTTTCATTTACATGAATCTTATTTATCACAACTGTTGCAATTATTTAACTACAATATAGCATAGCCGACAAACCTGAAATATTTAAACTGGTTTGCAATTATTATAATTTTACCTATTTAGATAGAAAAAGAATTATTATTAGAACGAGAAGGTATGTCATAGGAAGACTATTTGTACTCCCAAAAAACCAAAAAACAGAGGAAACTAACAAAAGACTATGATAATCTTTGCATCCTCAACCAAAGTATAAAAAGCTTAACAGTTATTCTTATTATGTTGCTCCCTATTTCTAGTTAATTTTTCCTTTGTTTTGCGATATGATATAATCGAGACACCAAGATCAAGTCACTCTATGAATCTTGAGGCCGCAGTAAGGTGCATTACAGTATTGTCCTACCAACATGAATTGAAACATGTGGTCAAGTTAGGAGCATTCCTCCTTGCCAAAGTATTTCTATTATTTTACATGGTACTATACAATAGGCATGGGCTAATCACGGTCATTAAAGAACCGCACTTGATTAAAATAGGACTGCACAGAACACTGGTAAATGGAGTTCGGAATCGACTAACAGTTGAAAGAGAAAAGCCTTACAGCAGCGGCAAGGCGATCAGCGTATTCTGATTGCGTGGTGAAAAGCCGCAGCTACCACAAAAGATTCAAAGTTGTTAAGAGAAGAAATAAATAAATAAAAAGAAAAAGAGGCATTAACAATTAACGCTTTTAGTGCCTTGTAGCTAAGGAGTAAATTCATGATCATCAGCTGATTTTCAAAATTTAAAAAAAAAAACAAATAAATGACATAAATCTCCATGAGCTCCATAAGTATCTTTCAATGGTAAAATAAAATGGGGAAAAAGAAAGGAAACGAGTATAAACTGGATTAACCAAAGTAAAATAACAGACAACGGGGAGAACGAGAGAATGAGATGGACCTGGATGTAGAAGAACATTAGAACTGCAGGAAACAGAAGAAAGCGATAATCGCACGAAAACTGTGCCATTTTTCCGTCTCCCTTGTTGATTTAAGCTCCTAGCAACACAACTCAAATCTTGGATCTAGCAAGTTCTTCCAATTTCAGAGATCAACGAGATTCGTTCGTTGCTTTGGTTCAGTTTTGTTCAATAAGAAAATTTTTCCAAAAGACTGAAAAAGAACAGAGGAATTGCAAATTTTTATGAAGAGATTTTAGCAATTTGCTCTTTGGGCGTCTGACCTTCAAGCTCTACCTTTTCTTCACTCCAGGTGGTGGAGCGCGTGGTGGAGTGGAACTGGAGTGCAGTACAATTCACGGTCAAAACGATGGCGTTTCTCTTTTGCAAATTATAGTATTTGTTCTTAAAATGAATGACACTTGTGTGAACTAATAAACTTCTTCTCCAACTTAAATCACAATCTTTACTGGTTGGGTTAATTGGTGGTTAACTAAATGAAATTCTATTCAACCATGAGGAGAAGGGACGAGAGAGCAGGAATTTTGATACGTTGGATAGACTTAGGAAGTAAATATTATTGAATATTATTATCTTAGTAATTTGGGATTTTAACGAGGCCTATAATGGGGGTGTTCATTTGTATTCATGTTCTATTAGTAATATAAACTTATACAGACTTCATAATTAGAATGAATTAAAAATTACTAATTTGATACTCACTCATTTTTAACTTCTATCTACAATTTTTTCATAACAGTTAATTTATATATTTTTATATTGGGATTAGTTCATAGGTAATCATTTCTATAAATAAGTTCATTTTTTAGAGTAATAGTAGGGAAGGAATATTCAAGTGAGATTAGATGAGTTTGTTGATGATGTGAACGAATAAACTATATTTTATAGGTTATTGAGTTAGACACTTGCTTCAACATGGCTAGAGTCATTCCCTAATTAAGTGATATTATTTTTAGAAGAATCACGATGAATATATTGTTAGAAACAAGTTATATTTCTTAAAAGCAGACTAAGTAATACTTAGATATTGGTGCAACAGAGGCTGGTTGGAAAGCTTGAATGTTGGAAGATAAAATTAGCTCATGTGGGAATTTATTAATGAATCAAGACAAGAAGAGGTAGATAACATACGAGCACAAATTTATGTTTATAAATGCATTATGGCTAAGGTAAAAGTTTTTCAGAAAAAAAAAAAAAACAATTTCATTCATCATGGACATGAAAGGTGTCCTTAGAAAGAAGGGAAACAACACAAATAGGAACATCATGAACCACCCTTCGGCAATCAAGAATAAAAAGTGTCTTTTTAACCATGGTATGAACAACCAGACTATAATAACTAAGAATTCGAAAAAAAAAAATCATGCTTCAATTATCACATATCTTCCATTAACAATCCAATTTTATAAATAAGGGGTGCATTAACTTGGAGATACATATGAGCTGTGAGTGACATTCCATTATATATGTTGATATCTCATTACTTGTGCTATCTTTAAACCATTAAAAATGAATTGAACCTTTGCAGTTTTAATAGAAGTTAAAGTAAGAATCCTATATATCACTCCACATAATATAACATCATATAATCTCAACAAATTGTTCTAGGTCTCATTTATTAGTCATTTCTAAGTGAAACATCAAGGTTGATTCTCACCATACTTACTGGTGGTGGAATCAAAACCTATCATTTTCTTTTGGTTTTTTTTTTCATTTAAATATGTCAACATGTTAAGTTGAATACAACCCTTAAAAATCTTTAATCCATAAAGGTACTTTCTTAAACTTTAGATCATAGACAGAGGATCATACTATTTCCCTTTATGAATGCACTTATTTTTATTCCACTCGATTCCTTATAGAATACACATAAACTAGGTATAGAAGTTGATGCATTTATTATGATTGAGGTGGAATGCATTAAATCGCTAGATAGTTTATGCATAACATACTTTCAAAAAAGATGTCCTATCGTTCACCATATATGGGACACATAAAATAAATCATCATTTCCTTCCAATTTAACTTGCGCAATATATTACACATGTAAAATATCTTCGGTGAATTATCATGCCAAATCTTTTAAGTGGCAATATAAGAGCTACTTATTTAAGCTTTTATGGCACTATATCAGTTACAAAAGAGAAATCTATCTTCTCATTTCTCCATCGAGACCATGCTCTACGGTACCTAGATTTTATGGTATATTTGCTTTTTTTTTTCAAACATCCACATAAACTTATCAAACAAAATTCTTATACTCAATTATATTTTGGTCATCTTTGAGGCTTCATGAAGGACAAATAAGTCCTTGATAATTCCATTGCATAATTATGGATGATTTAGATTAATTAGATCAAAAACCAATACCATATATAGTCTTATAGTTGCCAAAACAAATTCAATTACCCTACTTATTTGGTAATCATTCATCAGACCATATAAGCGCACTCTAAATTTCTAAAATCTTTACTTGAGACCTTTTTAATAACTCCTTACCCATAAATAGACTTTTCTAAGAATAGTCAGCTATGTACCAAAATGTGGCAGATTGAAAATCATCATGATGTTGTATTTATAATAGTTTAGAGGGTATAATAGTGGAATTCGATAGTAACCTTCAAGTTTATTTGGCCAATATTGTAGTAGAATATAGATCTTTAAAATCTAAATGCCCCCCTCCCCTTTCAAATTTATTAGAGCATAATCTGGACCACCTAATGTTATGGATCTTATTTTCCCCGTCTTTACTTTTCCACCAAAGTCTATTAATTTAACATTTCGAATTTATTACAACTAGATTTTGAGATAAAGAGCTTACTCATTAAATATGAAGGGATCGTTTATGCCACAGATTTAAGTAATACTCCTATTCTAACTTTTGATATTTCACCACCTTCTAACTTCAAATCTAGTTTTCTAATCTATCTACAAGAAAACCAAACTTTAAAAAAATAGATCTACCAATAACCATTGGAACACCCAAGTATTTATCATGTTTATTTATAAATTGACTCTTAAGATGTTTTATAAGAGTTAATGCATCATATTGACTACCCTTTCTAAAAGTTAATGGCTTATGTCCTCAAGTGTATAGTATGACCCAAAATAGTCACATAGTCATTTACTTGCTTATGGTTTTAATAAAGAATCCAGGATCAACTCATGTGTTTAATATGTTTTATAATTCCACTCAAGCTCTCTATGATAAGAGAGTGAATGGAAAGGAGATTACTTGGATAAGAGTCCAAGATTTTGATGACTCTTTATGTATATCAAATAGATAATTACTTGGCTGAGTATCTTTAAGTTTTAAGACACCTTAAGACTCATGAGCTTCCATGTAAGTTCCCATATTGTCATATACTCCCACATGGTCTTCTATGTGAGTTTGTGTCTTATCTTGCTCATGGGATCTCATGAAACTTAGAATATTTTGCCCCCCCCCCTCTCCTCCTTGCTCACATCATTCCCTCTTCTTCAAAATGATTCGTCCTTGGACCAGGACCTTATCATATAGGGGTTTAACCAACTCAACTTTCTTATAATTCTGTAAGAAAGACACAACACCACTAGACAAAGAATAGCTAGAGTTAGATAAACAATCTTTCATCTTTTATCCTACCAAAAGGGGAGGGTTGTCATTTCTATTTTCTCCCACATCCTTTTTTTCTCTTCTTCGGCGGTGTCATCTTTTTTTTTCTCCCCATATCAATTTTGGTCTCCCACGATATTGTGATATCTCAAATGCTAATTAAGACATAAAGGTGCTATATATAAAAATAAATTACGAGTGCATGATAAATAATTATATGCAACAGAGCAAATTATTACATCCCTTACCAAAATATATATGAGTTCCAATTACCTATATATAACTGAGGCTAGAAGTGGCAACAAAATACAAAATATCAAAATACAAAAAGGGCTACTTTTTTCATTATGTGAATAGACTTATCAGAGTGCGGGACAAGTTATGCACTAAAAGTTTGTAGATCCACAGGATCCTTATAAACTTCAAGAGGTAGGTCAGCGATTGGTTCCTCACTATCTTCCTCATCTTGGGAGGTATAAAAATAGGTGAGTTTCATATACTCAGTAAAGAAAATAATATTTAAATAACATCATAAGATTTTAAAAATAAATAATTATATCATCAACACTTACCATCAAGAGTCCTTTCTTAATTTATGAAAATAATTTATATATTAAAGAAAACATCAGATCTATCATGTCATAGTCACAACAATCAAATCAATCATGCTAATAATAGAGAAAATTAAATAAATCATGAAATACTCATATTTTTGTGTCATGTTTCATGAAGTCATTCCGACTTTCATTTACTGAGGGCAGATATTGATTTTCGACTACCCATGTAGAATGACTATATCATATGTAACACCCCGTTTTTTTTTTCTTAACGGTGTACGATAAAGCACCCATACAACACAATACCGAAAACCATATTATTCCAACCATGCACAAGAGATATCCACCTTCCATGTTCCAAATCAATTGTACATACATCTCCACCTCT